CAGAATAAAAAATTTAAAATAGATAAAATCTTGAAAAAAAATACTATACAAATATTAATTAAAACTGAAAATTTGTAATTCAAAATTTCAAATATTTTTTTAATTAGCTTTACATTTTTTAAAATATTATAATTTCTTTTTTTAACAAAAAATAAAAATTTTTCAAAAGTTATTAATAAATCTTAAGTAACATCTATTAAGTTTTTAATGATTTATTATCAATCTTTAAAAAAAATATAATTATTCTTTAAACATAATTGCAAATTTGAATTAAATGCCAGTTTGGTTTGATATAATAAATAATTTTATTATAAATTCAAAAGATAAAACAGTTTATATTTGAATAATTGAAAATGAAAAATTGATTTACTATTGTCTTAATATTCTTCACTAATAAAATTTAGCTTTTACCTATTATTATTTTTTAAAAAAAAATTGGTCACATGATATATTACTACTTTTAACTAATATAATTGTTTAATTCCAGAAAAAAGAGTGAACAAATAATGAAAAAATAAAAAAATAAACAAAGTATTGAAACAAAATATAATTAAAAGAATTTTACAAATCAAAAGCAATATTATTTTTTAACTTTTTTATAGTATATATGATTAATGAAATCAAAAAACACTTTTTTCAAAAAATACTGATTTAGTTATTATTCCTGATGGTTTCACTAGCATGTATTAATCTTTTGATATTAGTATAAATAAATCTTTTAAAGTTTATTTTTGTTAATATTGAAATAAGTGGATATCAATAAGTGGTAATAGTATTATTAAACAAAAAACTTAAAATATATTACTCTAAATATTACATACAAATAAATTTCAAATACTTGAAATAATATTTCTGTTAAGATTATTATCCATATATTCAAAAAATATTATATTTCAAATTGTATAATAGAAAGTGAAGATTATTTAATTTACAAAAATAATAAGCTATAAAAATATTAAAAAAAATTTATAATTAGTGAAAAAAAAATTTTAGTATATAAAAATAGAAGAATTTGAGTTTGACAAGATTTTTTTTATATTATTATTAAATATCTTAAGTGAAAATTATTATTATTTTTTTATATTTGTAATTATTATAATCTATTTTTAAAAATTAAATATAAAAAGACAATATTTCAAAATTAATTTATTTTTTTAAAAAAAAAATTCAAAAAATTAATATTATACAAGTCAATAAAGTTTTATTTAAAACAATACTGATTATTAATTAAAAATATCATATTCTCATTTAATTCTTATTGTATTAAATTATTTAATATTTATTTATCTTGTAATATACCTTTGAAATAATTCTGATTTAATAATATAATATATTATCAAGTACTATTAATTAAATTACTATAAACAAATATAATCAAATTAAAAATATAAGATTATAGAGAGTATATCTTTTCTTCTTATTTTATTATTATTTTTTTATATTAATTAAATATATATATATTTTTTTAATATTAAAGTGAAATATTATTTATAATCTTTATTAATATAATAAAAGTTCAACTTGTTATATAATTAATAATAAGATATAAATTATATTGCTATAGATATTAGCCTATTACATATATAAAATAAATATATTATTAAAAAATCTTTAAGCAAGAAACAACTTGAGAAATTATTTGTTATAAAAAATACAAAAAACAATTTAAATAAGATTATCATATTATAAAATAAATATTTGTTAGAAGATAATTAATAAAATATTATAATAATTATTGAATATAATTTCTAAATATAATATATAGATTCAATAACCTACCTGGTCATAGTCTAGTAGATTAAGGTAGGGTAGGGCTAACCTATAAACCACAGTTCAACTCCAGCTGGGGACAATTTATATATTCCAAAATGGGGACTTTGTATTACTACTTCTGTAACTCGTGATAGAGAGCAATTTGGATTGTTCCAGTGATTAAAGATTCTTATGGATAGACTATATCCTATAGGTTAAAAAGATAGATAATGTGATTGGTAGGGCTCTGAAAAGTACCAAACTGGTATCGAAGTAATATCGAAATGGTACTGATCTATAGTAAATTTAATATATGGATTGTGACCCATTCATATGAATTTATAGTAAATTTAAGTATCGAACTGGTATCGAACTGATATTGAAGTGGTACTATTAGGAGCCTTAGTGATTGATAAACTTTCTTATTAAGTATTGCCCAGGAAATACCTTCAAAAGGGAGAAGAAGTTTTATGAGATCTTTCTGGTAGTGGAAAGAAAGATACAGATGGCTAAAACCATTAGTTATATAACTATCAATAAAAGTTTTACATGTTCAATGGTAGTGAGGATCCGATCAAAAGTGCAGAAGATTGCTTATATCACAGGATGTTTTATCCTAAGGAGTATACTTGTGACAATTGATTGCATAATCCTATAAAATATAATCCTTACATGTGTTGCTAGGTTAGATTAGGAAGGGTGAGGCTGGGTCCGATTTCTAGACGAATTTGGTATATTGGTATACTCTTATTCCATCAATAATATCTCATCAACTAAATCCTAATAAGTTTTGACTAAACTGAATGATTAAAAAATAGTAGTGGTGGCTGTTAGCAAAGATCATCAAGTCGATAAAATATATTGGCTTGTTTAAAATGTAGCAAATTTAATTATCTTCATGTCTATACTTAGAAGTTTAGGCCTAAGACAAATAGTTAGGAACTTTTATATAATATCCATGTATCTTGGAGAGATACCGAAAGACATGAAAAAGAATGATGATGGATTCCTAAATTGATGTTGGAAAAAAAATAATAATATATAGATTCAATCAAATATTGATATTATATAAGCTATATATAATTTATTAAGTTTAAGTATATAATATAAAACTTAATTTTTATTTTTTTAAAAAAGAAATAGTATCTTTTATTTGTAGATTTACTAGTTTTCCTACAAATATTATACTTTAAACATTCAGATCCTAACCAAATTTAGTTAGGTTGCATGAAGATAGGATCTCTGATTTTCTTAATAATCGTAGGCTAAAAACAGATCAAAGTAGAGAAGATTACACAAGGAAAGACTTTTGGTTTAACTTTAATAAAAGCCCACGAACCCCCTAATATAATAGACTCCATAGTATAAAGAATACTCTAGCCTGGGACTATCCTAATCTGATACTTGCTTAAAAGAAGAGGACCTAATGAAAAGAGAAATTCGAAATTACAGGTAGTAACAAAGAGTACAATACTTTCTTCGAAAAATCAGATGAAAAGTATTAAACAGGTTATTTAGATATTCTAACCAATCCTAAAAGATATATGCTCCAAATAACAATTATCAGAATCTAAATTAGATTAAATAGTTTAAAACTAGTGATAGGATTTCTATCCCCTAAAGATTTCACCTAGTATGTGAATCTACTCCAGCAGTGAATAAATTAGTATAACTGGATAAGGCTATAAGTGGGAGTATAGGTTAATTTAAATAGACCTTGTAGTTATGTAATTGGATATACGTAAATCACTCAATAAAAGTCATGTACTATTAGTACTCTTTATCTGAAAAAAAAAAAATAATAATAATATCAAATTAATATATATATAAATTATTAATTCTAAAAAAAATAACAAATAAATAAAATAAATCATAAATAGTTTATAATTAATTAATATAAATTATTAAAAAATTTTGTTTTAATTTAAAAATTATTAAAAAATTATTATATATTGTTATATTTTTAATATTAATAAAAAAGAAATGTATAAAATTAAAATTATAAAAAAAATTATCACAAATTTTTCTTATATAATTAGAAAGTAAGCAAATTACTTAAACCTATCTATTATTTATTTACTTGTTAAAGATTTTATTCTTATGCAATAATAATTTTCTAAAATTCTTATATTTATAAACTTTAAGCTTATGTAACATATAAATAAGTAATAAATAAATAAAGTTTATTTATTTATTTATATTTTCTTGATTATATAATTTTATTAATTATAAATTTTAATATAAAGTTTATAATTATAATTTGAAATTATAATTTTAGATTAAAAATAATTGTTTACATGTACGCAATATATTTCTTAAAATATTTATCATTTTGATTATTCCAAATATTTAAGTATTTTCTTTTAATTATCTGTTTTTTTTTACTTTTTTAATTTTTTAATTCTATTGGTTATTCGATAAATTTCATTTATAAAAGAAAAGCAAAAATATTCAACATTGATTTTTTTTACCTCTTGATGACTTCATATATTTTCATATATTTATTTTAATGCGTTAATCGAAGATAGTTATGCAAAAATATTCGGTTCTTTAACTAATGATAATCGCTTTTTATGCAATAAAAAATGTTTTTCTTAAAAATATACAGTATCTTTTATAATAAGTTTACAATAGTATTAAAAACGACAAGTGACTAAATACAATTTCAAACTCGCCAACTGCTTATTTTCCCACCAACCTACACAACCTCCGCATTATGGATATGGAACTTCCTCGATAGCCTCCTCCAAATAAGTAATAATGGTTTAGATAGTGATACAATTGATATAATTCTAATAATAGAAAATTTATTACTTAAATATTAGAACCCCAAAAATAAAAATAAATATTAAAAACCTTGTCTGTGCTCATATCCGGGTTCTTGGCGCGGATGATGCGAATAATATTCCTTGAAAAAAGCTGATTTAGTGTGCAGAAGGAATTAATAAATTAACCAAGTGACAAATCTTCAAACATTGATAACAATGGGTACACAGTATATACCATGTCCTGGACTACCGAACATGGTTAAAATGCTGAATTCCATCTCATTGTGTCCGTAACAAGAAGAAGGATCAAATACAACTGGTCCATCGTTTATATCGACACCCCAGTTCCCGCTCCAGAGATCTCCATGAATTAAAACGGGCTTCACTTCAATATCTTTAAGCAAGTGATGAATCACCTTATCGATGACAACCTCACCAAGTTTTCGCAGTTCAACGTCGCCTGGGTTATCTTGTAAACATTTACTTAACATAGGTCTTAACCTTCGTTCTCTAAAGAATGTTTCCCAATCTTTTTCCCATTCATTATCCTGTTCCGTGGATCCACACATTGTCATCACAGGAAACCCGAACATGCCGTTTGGTGACTCTGTTGAATGAAGCTTGGCGAGTTTTTTTGCAAACGAAACTTGCATGTCAGGAGTGCTTGACTTAGAAAGCTGAAGAAATGTTGTCGCGAGAAACGCACCACCTTTCGGCAAAATTCCAACACACAAAGGCTTAGGCGCGAAATTCGGAACAGCTTCCGAGATCGCTTGAAGTGATTCCTTTTCACCTACAAGTTCAAATATAAGAAATTTGAAAAAGGAAGATTAACACAATATAAATCTAAAATAATTCTAACCTTCAAACATTACGACAGCATTTCGAGCGTTATGTGTCTATTTTTAGAATTGCAATGAGATCTTGAAACATACAAGCGCGAGACTTTAGGCATTAAAGAATACCTTGACGAATATGTCGCCGGAGTCCGTAGAGAGTTTGAAAGCATCATTAATACAGCCCCCCGAGATCGAAGAGACGTCTGCTTTCGTACAAATTCCTTGAGCACGAAGAACGTCTAGGATTGCTGACATTAAAATCATATGATCAGTCCTACACAGTTTTACGCTGCGGATCTGTGAAACCGATTTAGATTGATAAAAAAAATTTTTTTTTTTTTTATTTAATCCATTTAGAAAGGGGATTGTTAAAAATAAGTAATGTCTCTACAAAATTGGCTTGGTGGAATAAGGCTGACGAGGACATCGGTTTCCTTTGCAAAGGTGAATTTTAGTTCCGCGCTACGAAACAAAAATATAGAACTATCTTTAGGCTTTCAACAGCGTAAGTTACTTTGGAATTGTACTTTTTGTAGAGCTTTTGAAGGAATTCTGACATTTATTATTATGTTTTGGTCAAATTCGAATCTCAGTTCGCCGATATACTTCAAGTGATGTTTTTAAATATGCAAGGTTACGTCCTGAGCTACGCACGTCGGACGGCCGTTTTGCACTCACGAAAAACCTGGTATACTTTGCTAATGCACGTAGTTATACTGTCGGAAGAATAGAAACTCAACGAGAGGAAATATCTGGATCAGAAGCAGAACTAGGCGAATCCGATATAGTATCTAATGATGAATATGTTCCTGCGCAATTTGACGAAATCACGGCGATATCACCAAACACTCAAAAAGCTTTGAAACAGGAATTTAGATACAAAACTATGTCGAAAGTTCAAGATGCCGTGTTATCACGAGCTCCGATCGAAGGAGATTTATTTGTGAAAGCTAAGACAGGAACTGGTAAAACCTTGGCGTTTCTTATACCGGCTATAGAAACAATGCTTCGTAATTCACATCCAAACAATGACGGTAGGATGGTTTCGATTATGAT